CTTACATAGAAAGTCCATGGTAACCAGAGAAGTACCATCATTATCAATGAATACGTTCCACAGAAATTGGGCAAATCTCGTGGCTCACCACTGGTCTATAAAAAATGAATAAGACAATAAGTAGCCTCAGGAATGGCTGCGAAGCGAAGGCTGGGAGCCGAAGACCACGAGTACGCACAACAAGAGAATACTATAGAACAGGAAAGGCAGCGGCTGCTTCGCGAAGGCATGGAAGCTATGGAAGCAATGCCCCAACGACGACGCACTCGTATATCTATGAGATGTGCGAACGCTCGCTTTCAGAGTTAGTTTTTGTTTGTGGAACTGGGATGTTAGTGTCCTCTCTGTGGCTGTCTGTGCTTTACCTTGAACTTTTCTGCGCTGACAGAAGACGCTGAAGTAACCTACCACCACTTCGCCAGGGCCTAGCCCCAGAAGCAACCAAATCGCACTTCATGATAGTCCAGCATCGCTTTTTTTAAGCCTTGAGCAACTTAGTGCAAAGCTTGGCAATTTATTGAAAATTTTGACTGTTCTCGCAACAATGCCTTGATGTTTCAGTGCCTAGATAATGGCACTGGCTTTCGGCTCAAGTTCACTGGGCGGCCACCGACAATGGAAACTAAAAGCGTTTCAATCAGTTTAAAAGCGATCGTGAGCGCCTCGCCGGAGAGTCGGGCAGATTTTTATTGTGCACGAACAATGGCTACGAGCTCTGCGGAACAATAATAAGGCCAAATGGTCACCAACAAGTGGTCAGTGTATAACGCATGAAGCACAGACATGCGGTCTCGTCTGTTTCGCAACTGCGAATCGCGTATACCTCACACGTGAAAGCACAAAGGAAATGAAGTGCAGTGATGTGAATAGAAAGGAAATTTTCGAATTGCGTACGCACAAACCTTTGATTTTGCATTGCGCATAGGTCACACGGTCCATTGAGTGACGAACGCTAACGCTCCGCATAAACACCTGCGAGCTTAGCCATTGTTGCGAAGCGCGCCTCCGACGACGTTACGAAGGGCGCTACGAATCTCACCGCTGCAACCACTAATTCGAAAGACGGGACGCCAACACGGTCCCGAAGGCGCCACTGCTTCGAATTCCACCAGGAAGGTCACCAGCCGTTTGGTAGCGTAGGTTTCTCAGCTCGCGACTGCTTCTGCGCAGAGCTGATAGACGAGCGGACGAGACGACGGTGAGTTAAACAAGGTTCATGTACAGCATATATACAGAGGCGTTACAAAATCGGCACTGGGGCCGACAGAGACGCGACTCTTCTCTCTAACACATAGCTCTACTCTCAAATGGGTCTGCTCTCGGCGCGCCGCACGGCTTCTTTTATATGCACCGGGTCCAACCCAAATGTCCAACCAGAAGCGCCGCTGGTCGTGAGGTCAGACTCCTCCAATGGTGTCGCCGCTGGGCCGCGTCATTCTTTCTCATCGAATCTGGAGAGGCTGCGCTGCAGGTGGCTGCACCCAAGGACGAGTGACGTCACCAGGCATTGCGTCACCCCCCTCCCCCCAGACAGGAAGGCGTTGATTGCTTGCCCGACGGCTCGCTTGCTGAGGTGACTCACTGCACGTGGGCGACAGAAAGGCGCCGTCGCGTGTTGAAGCCGCTGAGCTGTTCATCGCGTCAGGCGGGCTCGCGTGCTGGCCTTGACACAGATTTCTTTTCTTCCGAGGCATGGACGTTTGCTGCGAACTCGCAGGCATAACACCATATGCTATTTGAAAATTCCCTAATGACATCGTTTTGATTAAACCGAGAACGCTACGGCTTCAGCGCTCGCTTTCATGCGCCTTACATGCTGCCGCCCCGTAAACGATTTCATCGTTCACTTACAATAAACCCGCAGCCACGTTGTGCCCTAGCGGAACACAAAACATGTAGATTACGTGCGCCGTATATCAACGCTATAGAACGTCGCTGGGGGTTTTATGCTGGCGCTTTATGTGCCAAAACAATGATAGAATTATGAGGCATTGGATACGTTGTTGAGTTCTCCGGAAAACTGTAAACACCTGAGCTTTCTTTTTTTAACATGCGCCTAAATCAAAGTGGGGCATCCAGCTTTTCCCCTTCCATCGAAAATGCTACTGTGGCGGTGGGATCAAACCTGCCACCTTCAAGTAAGCGGCCGAGTACCGTAACAAAAGCACTACAGTGGCGCCCCTGTTGGAAGCTTCGATTGAGATTACAACATTCATATGTGCTGTTTTAGGGTAGGTATCATTCATGTACCACCACTGACGCGTGCCACTTACACAATGGCATGTGTCTACCTGTGGAGGCGGGTAGGGGAAGATGAGGGGGCTCGGCACAGAATAGAACGCCTGCCTATAAGATGATGAAGAGAAAGGAGAGGACGAAGCGAGCGTGTTTCACTTCATGATGCTGATATTTTGTGTTTTCTCTGAACAGACTAATGGCAGGGTTAAGCAGCTCCACTCTAAAAAAAAAGGGGGGGGGAAGCAACGCTGTAACGCGAACATGCGACATTGATATAGCCATCGTTTAACTATTTTAACCGATAAATGCTGTCCGCAAATAAGATATGATTGGGAATCTATTAACTCATTCGCCACACCCAGCCAACGAATATTCGCCAATGGCAGGTTTGCGGGACAAATGTAAACATTAAATAAAACTCTTATGAAAATGGTGGCACAAAGACTCGTGCCACAGGAGAAAAAAATATATACCATCTCCCGCTAAATGGAACCACTTGTAGATGTGAAGCAGCGGGCGCTAACGTTTACACAGGTGGCGGCGTTCATGCTGGTGCTCATCGCGGAGTTGCACAGGAGAGAAACTTGGTGAGGCACAAAACACCCAGTGATGGACCGAAGTTTTCTACTGAAACATGCCAATTGCTGCTAATGGATAATGGAAGACAGGAGACTCCGACTGGACACAGGTACTGACAGTCTGCTTTTAGTTAACCGCCATGCTGCGAATTTTTATTTTTGAACAACGTAAAAGAGAACTCTTCCACCAGCAAACCTTGGAGGTCACGGGCGAGTGCTTGCGTCCGTGTTGGGAGGCGAAAGAGGGAAAGCGTAGCAGAGGAGAGTGAGGGAGATGGGACGAGCATGCGCAGAAAGAGTGGTCACGCCAAACACCGGACTGACCTCAACTATAGGATGCTTCGCATCTAAAAAGTAATCACCCGAGTTATATGAAAAATCTGACTCACGGCTCGAATATATTTCCTCTAAATGAACCCGAAAGTAATAGTACGCGACAGCGGCGCCATTCGTTACAACTTAATTTCAAGGGCATGCCACCAAGCACATGAATTTATGCATTACCATCAACAACTTGCCTTCATTTTCAAATATTGAATCGTTACACCGAGAAGCTACTGAAACTGTGTTCACCCACCACGGTAGTCTAGTGGTTATGCTGTTCGACCGCTAGACCGATGGTCGTCAGGTATTAGGGAGATTTAGAATACCGTTTGCAAGCACTTCGGGCGTTGCGGGCGTATGCGGGTGCCATACGAGCTTTACAATAGCGTTTGCGCTGCTGCGAACCGCAACGCACGATCGCAGTGACACCGTAGCCTCGAAACCAGCACTTGCTGGCCACATGCGGGCCGCCATCACCACACGCAATTTCTAATTTTTTTATTGTGGTCCGCGAACGCGAACGCCGACACGCGCTACGACGCATGCGCAGTGGCAGCGACCACACCGCAAGGGCTCGCGGTGCGCTATTCTAAAACTCCCTATTATCCAGGCAGCAGCAGCCGCCTTTTTACGGAGGCAAAATGCGGGAGGACGACGTGTTTACTCTTAGGTGTACGTGCGATGTCAGTGCACGTGAAACACGAAATGGTCGAAATTTCCGGCACCCACCCCTATGGCGTTTCTAATATTCATATCGTGGTTTTATGAAGTAAAATCCCAGTTATTACTAATTATTGTTACACACACACGCACACACACACACACACACGCACGCACACTTACACACACACACACCAGCACGCACACACACACGCATGCACGCACGCGTGCGGTTTGTACATTTGGGAGAATCATGCCTACCAGAGCGCCCATTGGTCGGCCATAATGTGTTTAGGTGTTGTGCAATTTCTTTCTTATAGCAATTGTCCCCACTCATGACATCACAATACGAGAATTTGATTTCTTAGCCCTGACAAAAAGGATGAAGGGAGCCCTAGCACTACATCCATCAAGTTGGTGACTCTCGGCGATGGCCCAGGCCCTCTGGACAGCATGCAGTGATATCAGAACGGCGAATATCTTCGTCCCACTTTACCTGATTGTGCGGCCTGAAGCCCACATTGAATGGGTACAGCCAGAGAATATGATCCAGAGAGCAGGCCACGTGGCCGTATTTAGAGCAGGACCGCGGATAGTCAGGATCAATGCAATTATGTGCTCTCGGGTTGGGATACGCTGGCGTCTGCAATAACCTGAACGAAACCGAGTGAGCCCTATTCAACTTGGTAGTATACGGAGAGAAGATCGTCCTGCCTAGTCTGTAATGCGAGATAATTTCGTGGAATGTAGATTATGGCTCTGTAGGGGTACAATCCAGGAGAACAATGGGGGCCTCTGTACAAGCGTGGTGCATGAAATCTCGCGCCAGAGTCCCCCTCAATAAGATTTAACCCAGCCAGGTTAACGGCTCCGTGCGTTGGGAACCAGTAAATGTGATGCCCTTTCTTCTCATTAATCAAATCCCTCTTTTACAGCCCCCCCTTTCAGTCTTCCTTGTCAAAATGTACCTAATTTCGTACTTGCTGTCTTGCATGCCTGTTAAATAAATGCATTTCTCTCTTAAAGTTTCAGGCTGTTTAGAGGGGCCGTAAACGTTCTGGGAGACCTCTGTGATCCGACGTGGGACTTCCCAACGCCTGGTTGGAGACCTACCTAATTGGCCCGCTGCCTCACCTCTCCAAACCAAAATAAACATGTTTGTCATGTCGCGTTATGTGCATGTCTCAGCTTTCTCGCTAATTCTTTTCTCACTAATTTATTTGAACAATCTCTCATGGGAAGAATGTCATATTTACATACAACTGTTTGCAATGGTTCTTGGCGGCGAAGGCTGAAACATTAGACGCTAGTTTTCACGTTCTTTCCAGCTTTTCGTCTCTTTGTTTCCTCTTTTACCTTCTTCCGTACTGACTCATCGAGTCTGCACTTGGGCATCTTGCTCTTGCAGGTATTGTCTGTCCCGTTTTTGACACACTCTCCACCACAGCAGACTCCTTTTTCGTGTCCGCTATCTTCAAGCTGAAAAATGAATACCACAGTTAGACCACGAGCAGTCTGGACGCTCAGCAAGTGAGTGCTTTTATAACGATATAAACAGAATATCACTTCGGCTCACGCTTTTTTTTCTGCATAGTGTTCTGCCATTGCTACCTCATCTCTCAACCCCAGCCGTTGCTGCGCTCAAATGCTCATGGTCAGGCATTCGCGTTTCTCAAACCTTTCTTCTGTGTGTACGCCTCAGTGGATCAGTGGCTAGGGTATTTGGCTGCTGTGCGTCCCAAAGGTCGTGGGTTCAATAGAGGTGAATTGCTAGAGGAGAGAGTACTGTCCGATGTCAGTTCGTGTCAGAGAACACCAGATGGTTGAAATTCCCTCAGCCCTCCACTACGGCGTTTGTCATAACCATATCATAGTCCAGGTGTGGTTCATTGAACATTGTGCAACGTAAACAGTGGCTACAATGGAGAAGATACTGAGCCCGAGCGTAAAAAAACTTCGCCCGTAAAACAGCTGGAGAGTTACACAGAGTGAGCGGTTCGATAGGCTAGCGTTCTGTTTACGACTATCAAGCAGCACAGCCCGAACGGAAACGAATATAATGCATTCGTGAATGGTACCCTGCCACGTCGCATTGGCACCGCGTTCAGTGCACAGTTTGGGATTATTTATTAAAGCAAAAGTCTTAAATGTTTCATCCGACATGCACGTTTACCATCGGCGGCGTCGTTTTCGACACTAGTGATGACGTCATCACATGACGTTGCTAGATAGGTAATTTTTTCAACGAACACGCACTATCCTGACGCTACTGGGCGTCACATCATATGACATCACTTGATTACCTCCTCACATCACATCGTCGCTTTGTCAAGAGACGTCCTATCATGGAGGCAATGCAAAACTAGTGTGCAAAAAGATGGCGATGTCTAGGATTCTGAAGGCTGCCCAAAAGTACATTAGGTGCAAAACGGTTTCGGAGGTAAGGGAAGGTCAGTGCATTAACTAAGAAGACAGAAAACGCTAGCTTCCACCTTACAGTCGTCTAAAGCAAATGTGGGCACCTCACGATTTATAGTTTTACCATCAGGGGCCATTATTTTTTTAATATTACTTCGATGAAGATGCCAAAGAGGAGATCCTAATCAAGCAACCATTCGTTGCCAATTATGAGTGTTTACTTCTAGCAGATGCCGTGGGCTGAGAGAGTAATTAATTGCATCGCTTGCCACTTTGTCCGTCATACTTCGTTCTTGTGCTGTTTGGTGAACAATTAGAGTTTGAAGATCTTCCAGAACATTGACTTATGAATTCATATTTTAACCGGCACATTCTGGGGGCCAGGACGTAATTAAATTAACAATATCAAAACGTTGTTTGAACCCGCCACTGTGTTGTAGTGGCTAAGGTTGCGGGATCGATTCCCGGCCACGGCAGCCGCATTTTAGATGGAGGCGAAAATGCTTGAGGCCCGTTTGCATAGATTTAGGTGCACGTTAGAGAACCCCTGGTGGTCGAAACTTTTCTAGCCCTGCACTGTGGCGTCTCATAATCATGTCGCGGTTTGGGGACGTTAAACCCCTACATTTACTATTACTAAAACGTTGTCACGATCTACACCGAGTCGAATGAGGCTACTGTCTAGTACGCACTATACGGAAGGGAAAAACAAGAGAGAAGTCAGGGAATTTAACCAGGCACATGCACGGTTCGCTACCTTACGCTTGGGGAGCGGGAACGAGGAGTATAAAGATGAGATATAGAAGAAAGGGAAGAGAAAGAGACAAGTAAATTGTCAATAAATTGGCGGACGCGTATGCAGCCATGGTACTATGTAAAATTCAAAGGCGTTCACATAGGCCCGTAGTCCTCAAAAAGCGCGAGAGGGATTTGACTGTCCTGTGACTTGTGAGCCCACGAAAGACGGGGACGGTGCTCCAGCAGCATCTGCACAGAGAGTGGCCTATCGGCAAATTGTCGCAAGGCGTCAGAAAGTTTTCGTCTCTCAGATGCAAGTCGAGGACATAGCAGATGGTCGATGTCTTCTTCGGTGCGGCGAACTTCGTCTTCTACACTGTCGGTCACTCTAATGACGGTTGTATAAGCTTTTGTGAAGGCAACCCCCAACAAAAGCCGACAAGTAAGCGAAGCTTCACGTTGACAAAGCCTGGATGACGGTCTAAGTTACAGTCGAGGGTTTATTTGGTGAAGTTTTGTATGTCTTATGCTTGGGGTGTTCCACTCCAGCAAACACAGACTACGTGCCTGTGACAAAGTTGCCTTGCAGCGTCTGTCCTTGACAGAGGAATAGGAAGGGTGTGCTCTTTTTGGTGGGATGTGCGAGCCGCGTCGTCTGCTCAATCATTGCCAGTGATCCCACAATGTTCAGATAACCACTGAAAGTTGACCTCATGGCCAACTCCTGTGACGTGGTGATGAATCCTGGCAATTTCGTACGTAAGCTGTTGGTGGCAACTTCGTCGAAAACTGACTGCATGCATTGTAAGGCTGGTTTCGAGTGAGAAAATACAGCCCCTTTGCTAGATTTCCGAGATGCGATGTACTCTAGAGCACCACGCAGAGACGCAAGTTCTGCCACCATAGGCGTAATGACATGTGACAGCTTCATCAGCAGGGTTATTTCTCGAGCTGATATCACTACCGCACCACCAAAACTAGACGCTGTGCTTGAACCATCAGTGTATATGGGTACATGGTTACATCAAGTTTTGTGCAAGAAGGGCAGGCTCAATTGTTTTAGTGCTGGCGAAGGCAAATTTAATTTTTATGCATTCCTGGAATCGTGAGACGTACTTGTGGAAGGGTCGATCAGGCATCACGGAGGATACACTGGCTTCTCCGCAGGTGTGTAACCTGGCAAGTAGTGCTGACTGAGGGAGTTGGTGCATGATAAAATAATATCACTTTAGCGCAGCTCTGTTTGAACATGAAGAAAATATGCTAAACGGTCAAAACACCCTTTTGACCGTATAGCATCTTTTCTTCTCGCTTAAACTGAGCTGCGCTAAATCAATACCATCGTATAACCGAACGTGAATGATGCATGATGCGCACCGACGATTGCACTAAATGTCACACGGGTCTTTCAGTAGCAAGGCTCGCCAAGCGGTATGAGCGGTAAGAAGGCTCTAAGCATATTACCTGAGGTAAGTACGCATCGTTTCATTGATCCTGTGCGCCATGATAGGGTAGTCCTGCGCAAGTGTAATGGTTTCAGTCGTTGATTCACAGTGGCGTAAACAAAGGTATATATATCATAAGAGCTTGGGTTTGAGTGTTTTGGAGTGCGCGCAGGTTATAGTTATGCGCGTGTTAGATATTTCAGGTGGGTCGCACCGCATGAATCTAATAAATAATACTTTGTACATCTGTAACATGAGCTCGGTGGACACTCCCCAAATTTTTCCGGCAAGGAACCTGAACAAGTGCCAAGAAGCAGTCAGCCGCTTTTTCACGAAGTTTGCGCGTGGTCCACGACAGCTATCGGTCGCTAATGAGAAGCTGTGACTTCAGCTGGGAAAACACCCGTTAATTGCCCGTTAATTGATATGCCATAAGCGGGCATTGTCTTTCTTGTCAACGCCACGACTGCACACTTACCACTTGCGATCTCGAGCCCTTGTTTACGTCGATAGTACGATGTCACTAATGCTGCCTTCTGAAGCCGAGCACGAAGTTGCAAGCGAGTCACACTGGACGGCCATACACAGATGTCATCGGCTTAATTGGAAAGTCGTACGCTGCTTGGCTGTTTGTCAACTAGTCCAATGAGTGTTACGTTGAACAACGTTGAACTTAGCACACCACCTAGTGAGACTCCTCGGCTACAGTAATACTGGGGTGTCGGGCCATTCCCTGTCTGCCCGTCAAACGATTTATTCTGCAAATGGGAGTGAGCCCAGATATAGATCTTGCCACCAAGTCCTGCTACTTCTGATACACCGAGGATGGCTTCGAGGGTGACATTGTCGCAAGCCCATTTAACGTCAGGAAACGGAGCAGCAGATAATCGTTTACAGGCCTTCTGGTGTTCTGCATATGTCACCAAGTCAACTACATTGTCAATTGATAAGCGACCTCATCTGCACTCGGACATGGCATCTGAATATCTTTCTTAGAACTTTCAGTATCATTCCAGACGCATTAGAAGCATTCTTTCTATAGCTTTTCCCACACAGCTCACGAGGGTGATCGGGCGGTATGAGCAAATGTCTAAAGGAGACTTGACTGCCATTCCTGTGGAACCCTGCCAGTTTTCCAGCATCGGTTACAGCAAGAGCGCCTTCCGAGCTTGATCATACTTCAACATCTGAAGTCATTACGCTATTCGGTAGAATAAAAAATGGTCGGAGCTGTTTTCCTGACCACATAAAAATGCGACCAATAAAGTATGTATTAGACCTCATAGCGGAAGTGCTGGCACATATGTACAACATATGTACAACTTATACAACAGGTATTTTCCCAACCAACATGCAACTAGCGAAAGTTACTGCATTATATAAGTCCGGAGATAAAAACAACTTAAGCAATTATCGCCCAATATCTATACTACCAGTTTTCTCAAAATGCTTTGAAAAAATAATAAACGGTAGAATTGACAGTTTCTCGAAAAAGCACAATCTAATAACCGAATGCCAATATGGTTTCAGAAAGAAACTTTGAACAGAAAGTGCCTTAGTAGCACAAAAATAAATCATACTTTGCAATATCGAAAAGAGACTTTTGACACTTGCATTGTATTTGGAATTTAGTAAAGCCTTTGATCGCGTATCTCATGAACTGTTACTAAATAAATTAGAATGCTATGGATTTAGGGGAATACCACTCAAACTTAGGCAGTCATATCTATATAAATGATATAGTCAGAATTGGTGAAATTTGTAAATTCATAATATATGCTGATGACTGCACATTATTTTTTACTGGAAAAGATTTTAGTACTTTCGAGGCTTTAGCGGCTAATACATGTTATAAGCTTCGTGATTGGTCTACCAAGAACAATTTAATGTTAAATGAATCAGGAACAAAATGTGTCCTTTTCCGAGCTTCCGGCATATCCCCTCATGTATCAAATTATGTTAGCCTAGACCCCTACAAAATTGCAGTGACCAAATCAATTAAGACGCTTGGAATGGTTTTTAATGAACATATATCCTGGAATGAGCATACAGACCAAATTAGTTTAAAGTTGACACGCGTGGTTGGCACTTTCAATCGTTGTCGACGTCTTTTGCCCGTTACTGTAGAGCGACTCTTATATCAGGCTCTTTTCCATGCCCACTTGAAGTACTGCGCTTTAGTATGGGCAAAAACTACGTCAACAAATTTAAATAGGATAAACTTACTTCAAAAAAGAGCGATCAGGGCAATAGAAAACATACCATACCTTGAACACACAGGACAACTTTTTGTTAAACATAAAATTGTTAAGGCAAATGACATATACAAATTCAGGTTGTTACAATCTTAGATTAGCGCAAACAGATGAAAACTCGACGCATTTCTGACGCTTGCAAATCTTGAACATGCTCAAACCATTTACTTCTATCGATATATAACCCCGTGGAAAATTCCGTTATCTCGCACCAATTACGGCACCCAAAGTCTTGGCCACATGCTACCTACTATACTCAACTCATATGAGCAGCAAGGCATAAAAATTGACAAATTAAACAATATCAATGTGCAAAAACTATTCTTGTAGATTTGTATTGCTTACATAGGTCACTCTGTGTTGCTTTGCATCATTTTTGTGTGCCTTTTTTAATTATTTCTTTTGTGTAACCTCATTGTGTACCTTTCTTATGTACGAAAGCGATGATACACACTCTGCGAATTATTGTGTTCATGTTTTTATGAAATATTCAGTTTGTTTGTATACCTTGGCCTGTCATTTACTTTGCATTTAGCTTGCATTATTATTGCTTTATAGTGTTTTTCTTTATTTTATTGTATTTCGTTTTTACCCTGTCATTGCTGACGTATAGATGGACGGTGCTTAGTCAAGCTGCAAAAACTGGAGCTTTTTTGCCGTCTCACAATTTTTCGCCATTGTATCTGTTTTGGTGAAAGTAAAATAAAATAAATGAATAAATTAATCTCGTAACACAAAGAGCGGTGTCGATGCCATCAGGTCCTGGCACTGAAGAACGTCAGCAGAAAGCAAAGCAAGCACACCGTCTACTTTTTCTATTGAAAATGGACACTTCAGTCGGGGATTACGTGAAAATAAAGAAGGGACGGGCGTCCTCGTCCCAGTTGAATTTGCCCCGCAGGCAATCTTTTGGCAGACAGATTCTGCGACATCAATCTCTTCGCAGCGTAAATGAAGTGCCAGAGATTTTGTTGGGTAGCGCTCACCAACGGTTGCAAGAAGACCACGCACAGTTTTCCTGATTAGCGACGGCTGCTTTCTTGAATTCAAGTATTCGCAAAAAGATGCCCATCGTCGCTTATGCAGCTTTTCCATGTGGCATCGTATTTTCTTTTGTGCGCGTCTGGGCAATCTGAAATAACCAATGGAATTCGTGCGTATTTGACGTAGTTCTGCACGACGACGAATCGTTAGAAGTGTTTCCCGTTCAATCATCCATATCGGTGCGTGTTGAGCTCACCGAAAGCGAACGCGTGGTGGACTGTAGGGCACTCTTTATTATTGAGAAAACAGGGCACAAAACGGATCTAATCAAGGGGGAAAAGCGACACATGTGTAAACACCCGAGAAAAAAGAGAAGGAGCACCCTACTCGCAGACACAGTCCATAAAAAACTAACAATCTCTTTAACCTGAGAGCGCTGAACCCAGGTATCTAACTTCCTAAACAGGTAGTTTGCTCACGCACATTTCCCCTTCCTTTTCAATGTAAAATGCTTTCATCACCTCTCTAGTGTATTTCTCCCGATTGCCAAACAAGTGCTTTCTTCCGCCAATGGCTGGCAGACACACTCCCTACAACGAGCTGGCAAGTGCAAACCGACACTAGTCGTCAATAAGGCTAAGTGTTCCCTCAAACTAACGTTGACGCACCATCCGGTTTGCCTTATATACCCCCCTCCCCTCATGAGAATGGCAACTTATAAACAACACCTGATTTACATTCAACATATATCTCCTTTATTTATTTTTTCATTTCGTTTTAAAGATAAAGACACCATGACACGCCATGTGAATAGGTAATCTGCCTGATAGAAGGGTGTGTTCCTTCTAATAAATTTCACTTGCGAGTTCAACGCCTTGTCATCTCTTTTTCCGTCTTCGTCTATATTTCTGCGCTGTTTTTACATCCTAGCAAGCTACGAAACCATACTTATGAACATACTAAACCGAATACCTCGAGACTCCGTATAACACGACTGAATTTAATGAATTTTGGCTGCTACTTGGAACAGTCGACCGAATATATGCGATCGCAGGTATACTGTGCACATATTTTTTTTCAGCTTCTAAGAAACAAAATTTTTCATCGCACAAGAACTAGGTTCGCGTATGACGTGCCTTCAAAAATGGTTCATGCAAACCACCCCTTAACCCGTGCGGTGCATATAAAATGTATGCCAGAATGCAAAAAGCGTGTACTTCGGCGGTGTCCAAATGGCGTCCCATGAAATGATAGGATTATCACTGTGTTGTGGAGGAACAAATTTGTAGTGAACACCATGGGTGACTAGAGCCTCTATCTCATATTATAAGTATCCCTGTGCTTCCGGAGCCCTCCACAACGGCGTCTCTCATAATAATATGGTTGTTTGGAGACGTTAAACCTCACATATTAATCAATCAAGTATTCCTGCGCTGATAACATCAGCCTACAACGTGCAAATGCTGCGGCCCGATACAGCGTTGTTATGAGCACCGTAGATCAAGAGGGTGTAGTTCGTCAATGACAATACTGCAAGTACTGACTGTGACAAACATGTGTAGGTAGATTTTGCTATTGTTGTTCTTTTAAACTTTACCCATTCATACTCAGGAAAAAAAAGAATTTTCTGAGAAGTTTATGTGAAATTTATATTTTGATTTCATGAAGGCTATAGACCGTTTTCCGGAGCTACTTTACTTATGCAAAACTAGATGGCGCCACCACACCAAAGCGCCACGGCCTTCATCTTGGCGGCGCGACCGCGATGTGGCGTGTGTCGGGCGTTGCCCTGCTGCCTATGGCGAGAAACGGTGGTGGTGGTCAGTCTTGAAGAAAGAAAAAGGCACCTAAATTATGTCGGGCATAGGACGACACGCCGCAGTGCGTAAGAGAAACAAAGAAAAAGAAGAAAAAAAAAACTGGCGGCACGAACTATGCTCTGAGCCCTCTTTGCTTGCCTGCAACCCGGGAGCGGCGGCGTCGAATCGGCCGGCCGTCGGCTACGGTGAAGAAGTGGAAAGGAGAAGGTCATTAGATCACGTGTTCAAACGTGGCAGCGCCCGTTCGCCGCTGCGGAAAACCGTCTATAGACGTCAAACTCTACCCAGGCGGCGTTGCGAAAAACGCCGCCACCAGCGCCCCCACCGACGCGCCAGCCATAAATGGGTAGTGCAAAGCGAGCCATCCGCAGGCGAACGTGCATAGGCCCTCCTCTTTCGTTGGCCTTGAGGCGCAGTTTTCTGAAAATCAAGGACCTGGCAAGCTTCTTACTTCAATCCAACCTCGCTTCAGAAAAGTAGGAAGCTCATCAACGCAAACAGTGGGTACATTGCGAAAGATGTTTCAGTTAATTCGTCGTACTGCAATTGGCACTTTAAGTGCAAGTGAGCATCGCATGACAGTGAGTTCGCGGCAAACACTCTAACGTTCGTTCTGTAATGCCTAATTGCGTTAAACTTAGGCATGAACGTGATGCCAAAGTGACAATGTGCATACACGAGCAGTCTATCTTACCATCAGTGGTACAAAGTTTAGAAATAGCCCTCGTGATTTTAGCAATCGCAGTTACATTCTCCCTTGATCTCTCGCTTCTTGTGCATTGATCTGTTTTATTACGCATTATAGAATGTTCTGTTGAGGGTTGCTATCCGTTTGTATATACTGCAAACGGGGATGCATGCGTGTTCACTTTCTCGGTGTACAACGAAATGCAAAACCAAGGCCTCCGAGATAGCTCCGGCAATCGCGGAAACCAACAGCAAAAAAAAAAAAAAAAAAAAAAAAAACTTATTGCGGTCACGATCATTTTGCGATTTACCTGTATGACGTGCATGTTCGCATTTCGTAGATAAAGCCGAAACTTAGAGCCTTGAAAGCCCTCAAGCGCTATGCTGTAGAGCTTCAGGTTATCGGCTGTCGCGGCATGAGCGATGTTTATCGTGCGCGTCACCTGTCTACTGCTGCATGGTGCGCACCGCGGTCACAGGCTCTGTTAAGCTGCATAATTAAAGTTACTACGGTTGCCCTTGATATCAAAGCTACTCGAAACAATAATAGGAGACCTACGTTATCACAGTTTCGCACGCGAACGGCTGTAGACAAACCGAGCGATTCACTTACCCGACACAACAGCCCATGTCCCGTGCTTTCGCCGTTCTGCTTCGCGAAAGCTGCGGAAAACAGCAAAACGAAGTCCTTAACGTCCGTAGCAGTTCACAACGCAGCTGTAGCGCTGGCTGGTGTCTTTTTTTTCGTAGAGCGCGGAGCTAATGCGTCTGCTCTTGTTTTCGCCGTCCTTAAGGAGAGTGAACCAGCAAGCAATTCACGGCGGTTTGGCGACACTTCCGACTAGCGGAGAAAAAATTGTAGCTCATTTTCTAAGAGTTTATTGCTCAAATACACTTAATATTAAGCTCAATAGCTGTTTTTACGCTGTAGTTGCATCTGGTTGCGCAGCAAACTGTCCAAGGGAGTCGGGCTTTGCACTACTCAAAACAGCGTCGACAGGTGGCGCTGCATGTCCGCAAAACTTCAGAGTCGGATGTCTATAGCAAGTTTGCACTACGGCTTTTTAACGTTCTTTTTTTCTCTCGTTCCCTCATTGCTTTTAACTTAACTGCGTCATACAATCAGCAGTAAGGCATTTTGCTTTTACAGAACTTGTTGGCCATGCTCTCACTGCTTCTGCAAATGACATTAATTTTACGTTCTTCCTCGTCTAACAGAAAATAGACCAAATGGGTTTTTAGAGGCTTACAAAGCACTGGTGACATTTTGAATAATCCTACCAGGGGAAACACATTTCGCAAGCGCACTTTTGTGTGCCACCTCAAACAAGTAACAAACAGCGCCTAGTGCATCTCAGCATTCTCGTTCATGAGCTCAGATAAGACTCGAATTAAGTGTGAGATCAAAAAAAACCCGAGGCCGATCCCCGTTTTTAGGAATCGGTATACCACGAAAGTGAAACGTGTCTTCGCAGAAATAGTTGAGCATTTCTTCGCCACAAGGGCGAAGGAATGATTGCTGCAGTAACCAATTGGAATGTCACGCGAAGAACGGCAAGCAGCTCGAAACTTGCAGCGCACACATCAAGCAGAAAGCACACACGAAATGAGCATACTAAGGACGAGCGCGAATGAACAACTGCCACAGCTCGACAGTTAAAGAAGCACGCTGCTCAAACAGAACGAAAGACGCACGAAATGAAGAGGAGGAGCGAGAACAATGGTCAGAATTTTCCCTTCTTCGTGTGTGAGCAGCGCACCCCTTTCGTAAACGCGGCCGTGAGAGAAATGATGACCGTGCTTTCTTTGAATACTGTACCTTCAAAGCAAACTTCCGGTGGAAGCACATTGCAAGAGGTACGAAGCACCTGAATCTCGAGATAAGCGCGCGCGCGAGTGGGTCACCACGCTAGAGAACATGTTACGTACTCTCACCACGTTATGTAGAGGCGCGCTTGCACAGCGACGTGCGGGGTGGCGTGGCACGACAACCTTGCAAGCACACGCGCCGATTGTGCGCCCGTCGTGCCATCTGCCGGACTCCGAGGCAGATGGCACGACGGGCGCACGTAAAAAACTAGCCTTTAACACGTTGGAGGAGCGTCGCTCTCTGGCATAGTGGTTAGCGTCGCGTGAGGTCAATGGTTCGACGCCCCACTGCGGAACGTTTCTTTCTCGTATTTTTCTTTGCAATATCTGTTGGTAAATATTTCACAACGTCGTATCCGTGACGGAAATACGTCACAGTGCTCTGGTGGAAGCCGGCATAAAACACTTCAGTGTTCAAAGAGGTCTACACACCCAGCATGGTGTGCCATTTCGGAATCGCCCGTTCTTCGTATTAAATGGGTCCAAGCCTTCATTAACACTCGATTCGCAAACTGTCCAGCAAGAATTATAAGTCACCCCCTGTAAAAACAGGATGAAAAGTTCGGTAAGTTACAGTTTTATTTCAAACCAATCAATGACGAATTAAATCATTAGTGATTGATTTTCGTCTAAAGCATAAAGCAGTCCTTAATGCCCCGTAAATTAAGCGTATGATAAAATATTTACCCACTCCAATTTCAACAATTAATCGGCTACCTTACCTTTCACTCCGCACAAGCAGCTACAAACATTCTGCGGACATGCTTTAATAGTGCGAGATCAAAGATGTACTACGGCTCTCAAGTTTTGACGTTTTTGAGAACAGCAATCGGTGAAATTGAATAGTACCGCACATCCCCAAATAACATTACCTTCATATATGATTACTTAGAGTGAAATGTCGTGAACTTAAGCTTTACAGCAGGCATAGCTTTTTCATTCAGTCCGAAGTTTTTGAGGAGTTGCTCAAAAGCACGAAAAGGTTTTCGTTGAGCCTGCTTTCGCATGAAAATGCGAGCGTTTTTTTGTATAAGTAAATGTAAAAGAAAGCTTGCCTGCTCTGGGCAGTATGGTCCACACTCAAACTTTTGGCTTTCAGGATGGCTGAGAACAACGATGAAAACTGCGAAAATCGGTATCAGTGGTAATGTTACAAAGCGGAGCAAATAAAGAGAATTCTACATGAAACAATTGAGGCACCGACCAATAATACGTGTTGTTGAGTAGTATGTCGGTGTAATGGCTCACCTCGCCAGTCTGCTCTCTCCAAACCTCTGAGGTTTTAGTTCGCTGAGATGGTAAAACAATATTCCCAGAATGGCGCGGGTTAGCGGCTTGAACTACGTACCACCGAGCTCATTGATTTATCTAAACCAGGTCTGAACAAACAGTTCTCAAGTTAACATCAGTTCCTGCATGGCCTCAGAGATAGTGGGCGCGCGGCGTGTTTAAACCCGCCGCGCGCCCGCAATCTTGGAGGCTATGGTTCTTGTTTCCACCCAGCACCACGAAAGTGCATCTTGTTTTTGGCCCTGCATTGAGGCGGTTTCAGCCATTCAGCTGTCGCGCGTAACTTTCTCGCATACCTTAGCACCCGCACGACGAAATGTGGGTCAACAATGCATGTCCTTTGTATCTTCTTCTTTCCCTCAACCTATCTCTCTATATCTCCCGCACGAACCTTTCAAGACGCGCACAGCGCGCCATTGAAAGCAGGAGCACATGAGACAGTGTAAACAAAATACAACCAGGAGCCACAGCAAGCGGAAGTGTATTGCGACTGATCGAGCTCGCTGATGACGTCAATCGCTGACGTCGTGTCATGTTGCTAACCTTGGTGGAGTCATGACGGCGGGCCATGCCTTCTCCTCCTCTAGGGCCTACAAGGGTGGCAAGGCCACGCGAGAACTTGAAACCAGCTGGAACGGTTGTTCCAACCCCTGTAACTTCCTTATTACAGCACGTAATGACGAAATACTTGCGGCAGAGTGTTCACACGGCATAAGTACACATATTTACATTCATTACAATTTGTTTTACTTCGAGTTTGTTTAATGTAAAAAGGGAATTAGTTGCACTAGAGCTGTTGGCTGATCGCGTATGCAGTTCCGAGCACAGTTCGCTGGCTCGAGCATCTGCTGCACACTCAATGCGGCTGTCTTTGTGCCGGTGAGCTGCTTCTTTATTACAGCTACTACTTTAACCGAAGCTTGCTGAACACCAGATAACAGAAGCATCGCATTACCTTATATCATCATTCCTATTGCGGCAACGACACCCCTTAAGGAATTCGCAATAACGGTGGCGCCAGACTTCCCTGTAGGTACTAATGTGAGAAACTATGCAACCGACATTCCTGCCTACCTGCTTCGATTACTATAAACCTCCTCCTTCCTATTTATTCATTTAAATTCCACCTAGAATGTATTTTCCCGGTTACAAGAGCTGCACGCCGTTCATGAAAAGCTGTATACCGTCGTATCTTAATACATTCCTTGATAATTTTTTAATCGCCATCGTCACCTATGCATCAGTGTTGTCTACAAAAGCTATTTTTGATGTTATGCATTTATACTAATTGTTTATGCAATATCTAGGAACGAAAAGGTTCTCTACTAACCTTCCACCAATACCTTAATACTGTATATAAATACAACCAAGCTCTGCTGATATTTTCATCTATAGCCCCGCCACGGTGGTCTAGTGGCTAAGGTACTCGGCTGCTGACCCGCAGGTCGAGGGATCAAATCCCGGCTGTGGCAGCTGCATTTCCGATGGAGGCGGAAATGTTGTAGGCCCGTGTACTCAGATTTGGGCGCACGTTAAAGAACCCCAGGTGGTCGAGATTTTCGGAGTCCTCCACCACGGTGCCTCACATAATCATATGGTGGTTTTAGAACGTGAAATCCCACGATTCAATCAATCAATATTTTCACCTATAGTCATATTACTTCTATCGTAAAACTTTAGGGAACAAGTGTAATGATGATAGGTCTATATTAGCCAGTGTCTTATTTTAAAAGGCGATAGTCTTTCTTGGGCCCTTCGACGCAAAAATTTTGGTCTGTATGTATGTATGTATGTATGTATGTATGTATGTATGTATGTATGTATGTATGTATGTATGTATGTATGTATGTATGTATGTATGTATGTATGTATGTATGTATGTATGTATGTATGTATGTATGTATGTATGTATGTATGTATGTATGTCTGCACATTTGTCTGTTTGTCTACTCTTACAGGCTTCGGGTGCTTGAAACGGCTGACCCCATCCGCAGCGACCACCAATGTTGCTCAAGGTTGAGCGTTCATGCTTGTGTATTTGTCAATTGAAAATCAATTATTGCACATGTCTGGGGCAGCATAACAACACGCATATGTTCTGCATATGCATCTCTTACTAGAAAACGCATACATAAGTAATTTTAAGGACCATAGCGCTTATCACGCTGCACTTACCATGCAAAGCTTGCACGTAACGGGAAGTGTATCCAACGCTTTGCCAAGACAAGATGGTGGTGGCACCTACCCGTCGCCTCGCGTTCTACACCTTATCACCTCTGAGACGGGCGCGCACGGCCACGCGCTTTGTTTTCCAAAAGAAACTGCCTGCCAGATGGCGCTCATGTCTCACGTGTGACGTGACTTGATGGGCTCGTTCACCTCCGCTGCACGTTCGAGGCACTCTAACGCACCACCTCCAGAATACCATTCACCGATTTTCTTGCGCAGAACATCAAATAAATATTTTGTTCACTTTCTGCACACGCAATAATATCGTCTTTCGACGACATTTGCAGATTACACGCAGATACGGGGCCCATTTTTTCTCTCCTCCTTTATTTTACATACTTCATCGGAAACTGTTCTTTCTTCCAGGGTCGAAGCTCCCTATGCCGTGGGTCGGGCGTCCGTGACGTATGTAGTAGTAGTAGTAGTCGTAGTAATAGTAGTAGTAGTAGTAGTAGTAGTAGTAGTACTAGTAGTAGTAGTAGTAGTGGTAGTAGTAGTAGGTAGCCACCTCCACGGCTGAACTGGAGAAGCGGCACGCGCGCACTTAATTGAATTGAGGAGGAAACCCGTGCACGTCAATCGTAAATAAAGAGATAGTTGTTTATAAAATAACTTACCGCGACGAGTATTGGTGACTTAATCTTCAATAAAATTTACCTTAAATTTGATGCTTACTTTTTAAAAAAACTAGTATCAGAAGGACGAATTTGAGCACTATCTGACCAGAAGGGGTTGCCACGTTAAACTCGCTGGGCGTAACCTCCTTGGTTTTAGCAAAGTTTAGCGAGGTTTTGGCTGCAGTGCCATGAATATAATGAACTAGTATATAGCCATGAAGTGGAGGTGGTGAAAGGTTGGAAATAGACACGAAGCGCAGGCCGTAAGAAAGTGCACGTGCGCCAACTCTCGTTTAGTGCTTGGAATGTCCGCTGGATGGCGGTACTTCTATATGCTGAATATATGATGAAAAGATGCGAGATGGCGGTACTTGGAGTGTTGACTAGATGGACGGACTGACAGACAGACATCTGCATGGACGGACGCACGGATAGATGGTTGGACGCGGGGATGGATGCACGGACGAACGCACATACAGATGCACGGACGGGCGGGCGAACGCACGAACGGACGTGCGGACGGACGAATGGATGCACTGACGGTCACACAGACGGACGCACGGACGACGGAAGTAAGAACAAACGGAGGGACGGACGCTTCGCTCTACTCATCATCATGCACTCCGTGGATATACTGTGATTTTTGTTTACCTGTATGGCCTAATTTTTTAAGCAGACTGATAAGAACACCTGTCGAACCAGTGGCAGAAAACCAATTCATGCACATTATAACAAGTTGAACGTGAACGGGAAGCCGCGATTCTGCATGGCTCACTTTTTAGTCTCACTACCACTGCTCGTGAGCCATTAGACTTCACCCTCAATTCGCAATAAAAAATGGCACATGGTGTGCAAGAAAAGCACGCACGATGCCGCTAGCATTTCATTCTTCAGGAAAAAAAGCTTTCTTCATTTTCGACCATCTCAATTGCCCCCTTTGGGTTAAGAGCACGCCAACCCTAATTAAGGCGTTTGGCTGAAGAATACAGAGAGGAGTCGCATCGCGCCCGTGGCAAGCTAAGAAGTATCCACCCATCATAGAACTTCGCATCACCTAATGGGAAATCGCTTTATATTTATAGAAGTTAACGTTTTCACAATATTTACAACAACCGTTCATATACTGACGCTTTTGCAGTTTCAAGCAAACAAAAACTGACTGTATTCAATCAGAGTTCGACTTAAGTTCGTTCTGAGACTCAACCCGAATTTCTGTCATTAAACCAGGTCTTGCTCTTGTAGTTACCTGAAGAATCAGCTTATGAAACCATGGGAAATGGCCACTTTGTAGATAACAAGGCACATCGGTGAACGGAGAACTAAATGAAACAAAACAAACCTCTCTTCTTTGCCTGTATGTTAGTTGCTCTTAGATATTGCTCGGTTGGATATTTATTTTCTCTGCAAGCGTATATTGGGCACCAATGCACTGGGTCTGTTTTCCCGCATGAACTGCATGCGTTTATGACTGACCAGATCGCAAAGGGGTTCAGATGCTACGAAATGACTTCTGTATATATGCGAAAAACATGAAAAATTTAAAGAATCATTTTACGCGGTGAAGGTACATGATCTGTGGAGCTCTGTAGCATACCGCACAGAGCTGACGCTAAATTTTTGTTGAAGGTACAGAGAGGCGCAGAATTTTTTCAATTTATCGTATGGTTCTTTAAAGTACCTCCACTTCGATTTATGTGTGCCAGAAGTATAGCGCGTAGGTTTTTAATTATCTAGTTATTTCGCTAGTTAACTCTTGTATTGCTTTTCTTTTTAAAATTATTCATTTGTCATTTTCATTGTTTAGTTTTCTTATTATTTTAATAGACAAGTGATGAGTAGTAGTCATCTACCCAGTTTCTGCTAAACATACCTTCTAGTAATTTTCTGTCGGGTATATAATTGTTGACAAGGTTCAAGCGGGGTTACTATTCGCCTAGTTTACGTACAACTTCACCGTGAAAGAATATTTTACATGTTGAATACTGTCTACGAATTACAAAGCGACACGTGAAAAAGAATTCCACGCACGACAAAGATACCTTGGAGCCCCAACACGAGTGTCACCCCTTCGACATGGCACAAAAGTTAGAAAATCTTTAGTCGAACGGCTCCTTTCCGAAATAGGTGCAAACTGGCTTGCCTTACGCGAAGTTAACGGCCATAATCGCTACGCACTTATCCTTCTTTTTGAAAATTTCGTGCAGGAGTTTCCCGCTGAAAGATAAAAAAAAGGCTTTTCTACAAACTGACTCACCCAGAGGGACAACGGCGACTACTGCAATATTTAGGACACCCATGATTCTCGTCGTGGCGGATTTTGTTCTGTGCAGCTTAAAAACCACACATACTAATATACGCATCTACGGCCTTTTTTTTTGAGTCAATGATATTTCCGTAGTCATGACCATATGCACCAAAGGACTAAGACCAGAAACGGTATGTCATTATTATACTGATACGCACTGCAAGCAGCCATTCATTCAGAAGCTTTCTTCTAGAGTTTCTCAACCTCTTCACTGACCTTTCACGTATGAAATGGCAGAGCTTCTCGCGGCTGAGAACAAGATGAACGCGAATGCGAAACCTCTTCCTCTTTATGTCATCGACATCCTTTTCTTTTTCATTCTAGGAACAGGAATCTAAGAACCTGCTTGGCCGTTTCTTAACCGGTCTTCGTTTACAGGTACAGAGTGAAAATTTTATTCAGTATGATATGTCTTTCACTACACTGCCAGAATTTTCAAGAATGATATTTTAAATATCGCGAAAGAAAGCAAGCGAAGCGCCAATTCACGGTGTGCGTCCCAACCAACAGAAGGTTTTCAGAACATGCCTTTTTAGGGCAACCGTTTCACACTTCCTTCTAAACTATAAAAACCATCAATACAACTTGATATATGACCATATCGCACAATGAATATCGTCTGCATATTTTATCCTCTAGCTGGCAAACACCGACGACCTCAAACGGTAAACCCGGGGCTGCCATGAGGCGAAGACGTCCTGCTGGTTGGGCTGTCGGACGATGGCAGCATTGACATTGCTCAACACTCGCAACGTATACAGTCACACCTTGACGCATTTTCGTCCAGAAAGAGCGTTTGTGTGCGCGGTGAAGCATCCTTAAAGAAATGGCAGCATATCCACAGAGTGAATGATGAAGAGCGGGGCGAAGCATCCGTCTGTCCATTCGTTCTTGCTTCCATCCGTCCATGCGTGCGTCTGTGTGGCCGCCCGTGCGTCCATCCGCCCGTTCGTGCGTGCGTCTGTTCGTGCGTCCGCACGTCCATCGGTGCGTCGGTCCCTGCGTTCCTCCATGCATCTGCTCCTGCGTCCGTCCATGCATCCATCCGTCCGTGCAGTCATTCGTGCGTCCTACCATGCATCTGTCTGTGTGTCCGTTCGTCCATCTAGTCAACACTCCAAGTACCACCATCTCGCATCTTTTCATCATATATTCCTCATGTAGGAGCACCGCCATCCAGCGGACATTCCAAGGACTGAACGAAAGGAGGCACACGCACACTTTCTTACTGCTTGCACTTCGTGTCTACTTCCCACCTTTAACCACCTCGAGTTCATGGTATATACTAGTTCACTGTATTCATGGCACTGTGGCCCAACGCTCGCTAAGCCTTTCTAAAACCAAGAAGGTTACGCCCAGAGAGTATAACGTAGTAACCCTTTCTTGTCAAATAGTGCTCAATGTACATGCCAATGGCTTTTAAGGGAGAATGAGAGACAGGAGAATTCGGCTTTTAGTTATAGCGCACGCTGCGAATTTTTTATTGTTCAACAACGCACAGAAGAAATCTCCCAACGGCACCACCTTGGAGGTCAAAATGTAAGACGGTTACACACTACTACTACGACTACGAGGGACGAACGTGTGCCGCCAGAAGAAGCTTCGCCCTTAAAAACACATTAGGCCAGACGTAGGGTCACCTTGCATCTCACATGTTCTATCTATCTATCTATCTATCTATCTATCTATCTATCTATCTATCTATCTATCTATCTATCTATCTATCTATCTATCTATCTATCTATCTATCTATCTACTCTATCTATCTATTTATCTATCTATCTATCTATCTATCTATCTATCTATCGATCTATCTATCTATCTATCTATCTATCTATCTATCTATCTATCTATCTATCTATCTATCTATCTTATCTATCTATATCTATCTATCTATCTATCTATCTATCTATCTATCTATCTATCTATCTATCTATCTATCTATCTATCTATCTATCAATCTATCTATCTATCTATCTATCTATCTATCTATCTATCTATCTATCTATCCACCTACGAACTTTAGTTAGCTCTCCTGGCCGTTTCGATAATGGTATCGATACCAAACTTCGTATTGCGTAACAAGACTGTATGAAGATGATATTTGACTAATCATAACATGAAAATCATGATATGTATGTCATGAATGTCATGATTTACATTTCATGGTCCTGCAGCTCTTGCGGTGGTTTTGTTCACATGACATGTTGCAAAAGTGGCGTGGTATGACATGATTGCATGGTGAACGCCAGCGACAGACCCTAATATGAAAGTCATGACATGCGTGTCATGTAACATCATGACTACATGCCACGCTCATGATGCCCTGGCGGCCGTTTAGCTAGCTTCACTTATAGCAAATTTACTATTACGGTACGTGAATGGATGACGAAGGTATGTGACTGGTGCAAACATGATAAACATGAGATGCGTGTCATGTAACAATATGACAACATGCTACGCTCATGATGCACTCGTGTCCATTTCGCTAGCTTCACATGTACCAAACTCGGTATTACGCAACGCGAACGGACGACATAGCTAAATAACACATCCAAACATGATTATCACGACATGCGTCTCATGTAACAACATGGCTACATGCCACACTCATGGTCCGCTCACGGCCGTTTCCCTAGCTTCACATATGCCGAATTTGGTATTACGTGACGCCAATGATTGGCGAAGGTATGTGAGTGGTGCAAACGTAATAATCATAAGATGCGTGCCATGTGAGAACATGACTACATGCCACAGTCAAGGCGCCTATACATTTCGACATGACGCGGTGCGCGTGCTCACCGGAATTCATTTCGTCACGTCACGCTGGCGTTTCCACGCCAGGCTCTGGTCCTGCCATATACTCGCAGGCGCGCGCCGCACTGCGTTGCTTTGACAAACGCCTCCTCTAGAAAGATGCCTGAGGAATGGCTCGCGCTCCCAGCGGAGTTGGCCTTCCTTCAATTTTCAACAAGCTCCGCACGATGACGCTCGCAAACGACACTTTATTCATGGCAGCGGCCGGTACCAGCTAAGCGTTTTTCAACTGTGGCCCATAGTGGCGTGTCAGTCGAGAGTTGTTTGAGACCTGCAATTGTGCACCAGTTTTTCGGAAGCTATGCAAAGTGTTGGGTTGCTCACCGTCCGCCACAGGCGACGCTAGCGACCGAGAAAATTTTAAAATGAAGGAGGCATATGTTCTTCATACAGTCATGTTATGCCATACCAAGTTTGGTATCGATACCATTATCGAAACAACTAGGAGAGCTAAATGTTGTAGCCGGCTATGTAGATAGATAGATAGATAGATAGATAGATAGATAGATAGATAGATAGATAGATAGATAGATAGATAGATAGATAGATAGATAGGCACGCTCAAAGCTGCCCAAGTTCGCTAAGAAATGCTTCGCATTTAAAAAAATTCGGCTGATCGCACGTACCATGAGAATCGAAGTACGTTATGCAAATCATGCAGAAGAAAGGTGACTGCGTTGTAAATTTATTTATTGAGCAATACGTTACCAAATGATGCTAAATATATGAGCAAAAGTACGCAAAGACATGCATTTAACAGTCGCATGTTTACTGTCGCATAGCGATGTCAACTGTAACATGGGTATTAGCAACACCGGAAGTGGTATAAGCTGATATGTGGCCCTTGTGACAGCGAGGATGGCGGCCTTGGACACTTATAGATAAATGAGCTTCAGTGTATGACGCTCCACTGCAGCCTCCGCTCCAAAACGCAGTGCGCAACTCGTGGCGGAATCCCAACTGGATGCAAATGATTTTACTACTACAGCCACAACGGCAAGCAGGCGGGAATGCCCCTCTACGGCTGCTGTTGCCTCGCCTGGCACCAAGT